CTTGCCTACTAGAACTAGAGCAAAGAAATCACAAGATATTAAAGTTATACTTGATAAGCCATACTACATAAAGCTGGGCTCACTAACTGTCTCATAAAACTTCTAGCAAATAAGAAACTTCAGAGGCCAGTTGTAGTGGCACATGCCAGTAGGCTATGCCGAAGAGACAGAGATAGGCAGAAATCTATGCATTCAAGACCAACCAGGTAACTGAGTTCCAGGCTAGCCAGGGCTACAAAGAGAAACCTTGTCTGAAAATAAGCAACTGTGTATGTACTGATTGTTTGTACTTTGTCTTTTTAGACTAGGGTTTGCTATGTAGCTTAGGTTGGCCCCAAACTGGCAGACATCCAATTGCCTCGCCATCCTCAGTGCCAGGGTTACAGTTAAGCACCACCATGCCTGACTATTTTGAAATTCTGTTAGGTTCATTTTAAATTAAAAATCTTAAAAGTAGTTGGGTAGTGTATATATCTGTAATCCAGCATCCAGATGGAAAGGCAGGAGAACCCCAAATTCAAGGACAACCTAGGCTACATAGCAAGACTTTGCCACAGACAACCAACCCCAAAAACTACCAGAAAGAGTAGAATGCATCCCTCAGTTCAGGTTCCGCTCCTATCAGTATGAACTGGAGTCATTTCCATGGGTGAAAAAAGCAGTGCTTTTAGAGGAAGAGCGATAAAATCTAGTGACTTTGTCATAAGCTTCAATAAATGTACACACCCTAACCCTGGTGATGTGTAAACCGGCCTCTTTAAGAAGGCCATTGCCTGAGGCTGTTTACAACTGTGTTCTTCCAATGCGGCCAGCCAGGGAGCAGGAATCACTGCTTCTCATTAGAGCCTCCTCAGAAGGCAGTTTGGGTCTGGTGAGGGTAGGGATGCAAAACTTGAGAGGCAGAGGTAGGGGTTTAAGGACAGCCAGAGCTACACAGAGAAACCCTGTGGGGGTGGGGGGAGCGGCTTGGCTACCTTCTCCTCCCTACCTGTCTTTTTACCCTGAAGGCTCTGAAGACTTGAGGGGAGGTGGGGCACGGGGAAATCCTTCCACTTGGACCTTCTTGTCCTCCTGTTCACAGGACACAGATCAAACCACACATGTTAACTCAAAACTAATGGGGATGTACATCCAAGTGTGGAAGTCTACTGATGAGCAACCAAACAGTTCATGACAAGCTGGTGCCCCTAGGAGTCAGAGTGCAGCAAACTCTAGGGGTCCACATAGGAACTGGGCCACTCCAACTTAGCTGGAAGCCAGGTCTGAATTCCACACACTTTAGTGTGCAAGTAACAGGCACTTACTTCCTGCATGGCGGCCTGGCAGTTCTGTTAGGTTCTCTGGATGGATTATCACTCAAACACGATTAAAGATGAGTTTATTCAACAGGAAAAGTCTCTTCACATGCTACATTCTCCTACTTTGGAGCTGGTTAGATTGGACCAAGAGGTCCTCACAATGACAAAGCATTAATGCCAAGTGGCATCCATTCCCTGCCCTACACTAGCTATCAACCTGATGAACCAACATCTGGTCCTCGGCAGGCTGGCTTTCTTAGGATGTGCTTTCTTTTCTGGCTCTTACTTTTTGCAAGACAGGATCTCAGTATGCAGCCCCAACTGTTTTATTTTATTGACACAGGGTTTTTTTTTTCTCTATGTAGCCATGGCTGTCATGAAATTCACTATGTAGACCAGGATAGCCTAGAATTCATAGATCCATCTGCCTCTGCCTCTGTGTGCTGGGATTAAAGGTGTACACCACTATGCCCACATCCCAGCTAGTTTTAAAAGTATATTTGGAGGTAGCAGCTAGAGAACCAGGAGCTCAAGGTCATTCTCAAGACACATTACATTCAAGGCCATCCTGAGCTACATGATTCCCTGTCTCACACAGAAATCTAGATTTCTGACTTCCTTTAAATAGTCCCAGCACTCAGGAAGCAGAAGCAGGTGGATCTCTCTGGTCTACAGAGCTAGTTCTAGGACAGCCAAAGCAACATAAAGAAACCCTGTCTTGAAAAAAAAACAACAACCAGAAGATGTGATACTGGACAACAGGGCCTACTCTCATAATGTGGTCCTCATTGGTCGTCTAGGGCGGGCGAGCCAGTTCCTTCCACTCAGTCCCTGGAGTTCTCAGCTTCTGTCCTTAATGTGATGCCTTGAGAGTTGAAAGCTGTATGTAGTTGTTTCTAGGCTAACTGGCCTTGAAATAGTCAACTTTGGGGATTCTGTTATTAAGTTTTTCTATTTTGGTTTGCTATCAGCCTAGGTCTTTCACACATCTTTCTAGGTCCAGCTTCCTTTTTTTTTTTTAAGAGTGGGGAATTACAGAAACAGGCTTTGTATACCTGGTGTGAAACACTTGTGATAACCTGAGTACAGGGGCCACAAGGGTTTAAGATAATCCATGATGACTTGGGCCACAACATTTTTTGTTTTGTGACAGGTCTCTTACTGTAACCTAGGTCAGGCTTGAACTCACCAGTTCTGGCTGCTGCTACTAGAGGTATGCACTACCACGTCTATCTCAGTATGATGTTTCTCCTACATTTTCAAGCCATAGTTAACTGGTGAAGTGTAGTTATCTGCAAATCTGTGAATGAAAGAGGATGCTAGAATACAATCTCCTCAATGATGTTTGATATGAAGTCTGAGATCAATGAATCTGTCTATTCATCTTGACGTTGTTCAGGCTGGTGCTCACCTAGTTATCTGTCGGGCTACTTTCCATCTCAAGGCTGTGGCACTGCTAGTATCAGTTTCCTTTGTCAGTTACCTCCATAGGAAAGCCACTACTACTTAGTCAATTAGCAGTATTTTGAGAGCCAAAGTTATGTTTTAAGTTTTGATTACTATGCCTAAGAGATCCATACAAAAATTCCTCTAAGCTGTAAACTCGCTTGCCTGAGGACAGATACTTACTGAAATCCTGGAGGCTATTTATTTAAGATAAAAAAGGCACATGTTTTCCCTCTAAACAAGTTTGTTTGACTCAACTGCACCTACACATGCTTGATCACATGTAGGCAGGAGACAAAAGGTAGGAAATCCATCAGGATATATGCTTGCCTGACTGGATGCAAGTGGAAGTACACGGGCAGGAAACACACCAGGATATATGCCTGCCCCAGATGGGAAATACATAGCCTTAGGGTTTTGTCTTATACACCTTTGCAAACTGATTCGTCACCATTCTCTGGGAACACCAGAATGGATCTGGCCAGAGTTTGTCATCAGGGCCAGTATTTAATTAAGTTTCCTTCAAATTGGCTCAAGATTGTGGTAGTGGTCCTATCCTCCCTCACCCAGTGGAATTAACAGTATCTCTAATCACCCATCCATATTCCCTTCTTAGTTTATTTGTGGATGAGCAGAGTTCTCATTTTATCTCCAGATCAGGAGCTCATCTGTTCTTCTTGCCTCACCCAATTCGCTTTTAATTCTCTGAAAGCTGGACTTCTTTTAAAACAATCACTATTGATTGTACCTGATGTGCTATGGCACATGGGCAGTGGTCAGAAAACAACTTTGTGGGGGCTGGAGAGACGGCTCAGAGGTTAAGAGCACTGACTGCTCTTCCAGAGGTCCTGAGTTCAATTCCCAGCAACCACATGGTGGTTCACAACCATCTACAATTCAATCTGGTGCCCTTTTCTGGCATGTAGGCAGAACACTGTATATGAAATAAATAAATAAATAAATCTTTAAAAAAAAAAAAAACAACTTTGTGGTGTCTGTTCTTTCTTTCCACTTTATGTGGTTTCTGAGGCTGAGCACAAGTTGTCAGGCCTGCTGGCCAAGCAATTTCACCAGCAGAGCTATCTTGCAGACCCCTAAAAACTGGAGTATGGTGGTGCACTTCTGCAATAACATTTCTGGGGTCTGAGGCCAGAGGACGGCTGCTCTTTCAAGACCAGCCTTGTCTACAGATTGAGATCATTTAAGCCTGTCCCTACCTCCCTAAAATGAAAACCAAAACTATCCTCGGTGTAAGCATTCAGGCATTACACTGGCCTGCCTGCCCTTGTCACCTGGCAGAATGCACTCAGGCAGTCCCCAGGGTTCCATGACTACTAGTCTGGACGATGGTACAAAGGAGCTCTTTTTAAAAGAAAGACCTCCTAGGCTGTTTTTTCATTCTGTTCCTTTGGGGAAGAGAGGACTTTTCCTGTCTCCCTCTTCTTTTCTGTCCTCTCTGTGTCTCTTTTCTCTTTCCTCCCCCTCCCTCCCCTTTCTAATAAAACTTCTCACTTAAGTTCTGTCTGCCTGGTGTGTCATCCTCATCTGCCATGGAATCCGCCAAGGTTCCTCACGCTTTATCATAACAGATCTGATACCTGGAACAGGAACTCCAACTGTTAGACGATAGGGCGATCATGTTATAGAGAACACACGAAATCAAAGCAGAAGGGAGGCCTCGTCTAGGATACCACTTCCAACACCAGCAGAGTACTTACTTCAGTGCCCACCTATCTCTCATGGCTACCAAATAAAAATTAATGTGCCCAGATTAAGTGAGGCAAAGGTCAGAAATGGCAGTAAGAACAGAACATTAGTGGAATTCCTGTAGACAGAAAAACTGATTCTTCCATCAATAAGACAGAAGCATTTCTAATTACTGTCTAAAACCTTGTAGTTTTTCCAATTCCAAAATGACTCTTTCTGGAGAAGGTTGGAGGTCAGTAGGATAAAGGTAGCATGCTCCTTTAGATGCTGACTTGTTGCCTTGAAGTTGTGTTGGGCAAGACAGGGGCAGACTGAGAAAGGCATCAGCTATCGTTGGCAGATATTTGAGGATCTACTCTGTACCATACCTAGCAGTTGTTCAACAACTCAGAAAACTATTAAGAAAACAAATCATAAAGCCTAGAATGGCGGCAGCTTCTTACACCTTTAATCCCAGTGCTTGGGAGGCAGAGGCAGGAGGATCTCTGAGTTTGAGGTTAGCCTGGTCCATAGAGAGTTGCATTCTCAAGATACCAAAGTACCAGTTTATTAAGGTAATAAACTTTAATGTAGGATACTTTTAATACAAGAAACAAAGCCTAAGAAAAAGCCAATAATAACCACAACTCAAAATGCTAACATTTTTTACATACTATCATTTACGATGAAGTTCAATCTCTAACTATAAAGTACACTTGGGCCACACATTCTTGTACTTGGAAGACTACACAACATGAGTAAGAGCAGAAAGCTGCTCCCCAGCAGGCTAAGACACACACTGAACTTGCTGTGTGTATGAATTAGAAGGCTCTATAGGTGGAATAGAATTCTGAATAGACTATTTTAAAGTGACCATTTTAGATTTTACTTAACACTGAAGTATTTCCTTTCATCACAAACATTCCATATTTGAAATATTTATGTAATTCTGGAATAACAATCAAGGTCCACTTTTGTGCCAGAGAACCAATTCTTAAGAAGCATCATACTCTGCAATGAACTGCCTGAGCTCTTTCACACACCGCTCACTTATTTCATGCAAACTCTGCCTAAGTGCAAACTGAATGGACTTTTCTAATGAAGGATCTTTGTCAACCAGCATTTTCACCACCATCCCGAAGGTTTCACAGTCTTGGTGGTATGCTTGTTCAATTTCCTTGGTTTTTGATGCTATTGCTTTAAGGCGATTAGTTAGTTGGTCATCAACTAATTCTGTGTCTTGTGTTCTGTTTGGCTCAGGTTGCTGTGGCTGAAGTAATGGTTCTGTGAGTCCAACTTTAAACTCAGAAATTTTAGGTAAGCCACTTTCATCTGCCACCTTGGGTTTTTCTACTGCCTGCCTGCTGGGAACTTCAGGAAGTCCCTTCTCATTGAACTTGCTGAGTTTGCTTAAAACTTCTGATGAAGGAACAGTTGAAGAACTTGATGGGTGTGTGTCTCTTAATGTTTTCAAAGACTGGCCAAGTCTCTTCTGATCTCCTTCTAGCTTTTCTTCTCTGTGCCTTCTGTAGGGGGCATGAGCCTGCCTGGACTGCCTAAGCTCTGACAAAGGGGAAGAACGTCGTCGGCTTCGTTTTGGGGAGTGCCCTCCACTGAACCCAGATCCGCTATGCGGGGAGTTTTTCTGACCTATACTTGATTTTTTGAAAACACGAGGAGCCCCATTATGGGGAGACCTCTGTCTTGAATAATGGGAAGAAGAAGAAGATTTTCTTCTAAGATCATTTTTCATATCCCTGTACTCACGCTGTCGGCTTGCAGAAAGACCATCTTTTGTTATCTTCAGGTCAGATTCCTCACTGTGGGCATTCAGGCTTGCAGAAAGACCATCTTTTGTTATCTTTAGGTCAGATCCATCACTGTGGGCACTCTGGCTTGCAGAAAGATCATCTCTTGTTATCCTCAGGTCGGATTCAGCACTGTGGGCATTCTGGCTTGCAGAAAGATCATCTCTTGTTATCCTCAGGTCGGATTCATCATTGTGGGCATTCTGGCTTGCAGAAAGATCATCTCTTGTTATCTTCAGGTCAGATTCCTCACTGTGGGCATTCTGGCTTGCAGAAAGACCATCTTTTGTTATCTTTAGGTCAGATCCATCACTGTGGGCACTCTGGCTTGCAGAAAGATCATCTCCTGTTATCTTCAGGTCAGATTCAGCACTGTGGGCACTCTGGCTTGCAGAAAGATCATCTCTTGTTATCCTCAGGTCGGATTCATCATTGTGGGCATTCTGGCTTGCAGAAAGACCATCTCTTGTTATCATCAGGCCAGATTCATCACTGTGGGCATTCTGGCTTGCAGAAAGACCATCTCTTGTTATCATCAGGCCAGATTCAGCACTGTGGGCATTCTGAGGAGGTACTTGGTCATACGGTCCATTAGACCACATCTTGTTTCCTCTGTATACTGGTCTTGGACGGTGACCAAGGATAACAGGGATGTGAAGCATGGATGGTTGGGCTGGCCACAAGTTCACCAAGATAGTCCTAGCAGTCCTTTAATGAACACTGAGTCACTGGCCTCAAATTTCACCTGCACTCTAGATAGGCTGAACTCTAGCAGACATGGGCTTCAGTATGAATTGATGGCTCCAGGTTCCAGGATGCTGGCACGCAGGCTGCCACAGGAGGAGTTAGAGGTCTGGTTGGTTTGTGCTGGTGAGTAAAAGTCAAGTATAAGCTGTTGGTGGTGGCACATGCCTTTAATCCCAGCACTCAGGAGGCAGAGGCAGGCGTATCTCTGTGAGTTCGAGGCCAGCCTAATCTACAGAGCAAGTTCCAGGACAGGCTCCAAAGCTACAGAGAAACCCTGTCTCGAGAAACAAAAAGAACAAAACAAAAAAGGCAAGTATAAACTGCCTTGTATTAATTTTTGTGGGAACAATAGGTTTCTCACAACCTCTGAAAGGTCAGTGCACACCTCTTACAGATTTATAAAAATTTAAAAAGGTGTCAAGAGGTTCAATACCTGTCCATACCAATACTTAAAGACAAATCATTCTGTAAATCCAACTCTTCCCCAAACTGGCCTTGTCTCCCCCACTTACTGAGATCTCTATCAGAAAGAGGCCTGTTCTCTACCAGCAATCTCTCAAAATACCTAATACTGTGCTGACTATAGCAGCAACATTTAGCTGGACATAGTGGCACACACCTTTAATCCCGGCACTCAGGAGGCAGAGGCAAGATTTCTGGGAGTTCAAGGCCAGCCAGGTCTACATATCAACTTTCAGGACAGGCAGGGCTACACAGTGAGAATTTGTTTCAAAAAAACAAAAGCAAATGAACAAACAAACAAATCAGTAAAATTACCAACTTCCTCAGTGATCTTGAGTCATAGAAGTTACCTAGAACCAGGCAGTGGGGGTGCACTCCTTTAATCCAAGCACTAGGGGTGGGGAGTGGGGTGGGAAGAGGGCAGAAGTAGGATCTCTGTTAGTTCAAGGTAAGCCTGGTCTATATAGCGAATTCCAGGACAGGTTTCAAAGCTACAGAGAAACCCTATCTCAACAAACAAACAAACAAACAAAAAAAAAAAAAAAAAGAAGGAAGAGAAAAAAGTGACCCAGCTCTGCATTCTTTTTGCATATTAAGCTACCAGAAAAATGGTTTCTCAACCTTCCTAATGCTGCAACCCTTTAATATACTTCCTCATGCTGTTGTGACCCTGAGCCACAAAATTATTATCATTGCTACTTCATAACTGTAATTGTGCTACTGTTATGAATTGTAATGTAAATATCTATGTTTTCTAAGGTCTTAGGTAACCTCTGTAAACGGGTCATTGGACCCCTACCCTCAGGTTGAGAACCTCTGCATTAGAAAGAAGTAAATCTGTATCATAGTCTGGTGGTAGTGGCACAGGCCTTAATCCTAGCACTCAGGAGGCAGAGACAGGTAGATCTCTGCGAGTTTGAGGTCAGCTTGGTCTACAAACTGAGTTCCAGGACAGCCAGGACTGTTACACAGTGAAACTGTCTTGAAAAAACAAAACAACAAAAACAACATACCCTGACCCAAAAACCACAACAAACCTATGACTCAAGACTTTGCTTCTTACTTTATGCTAAATCCATTCCATCTTCCCTTTCAGCTCTGGCAAGGTCAGAACTGATAACATGATTCCAATGTTCTACAGCTGCTCCCCATACAGCAGCCTGCTCATGAGTCCCATCTTCTTAGAAAGTCAAATGCACTTGCTGACCTCATTCCTATACTGTGCACATAAGAGTCCAACCATACTTTTTGTCTCTCCAAATCCTGGGCTCCTTGAATTCCAGAGTCAAGTTACGGTCAAGTCCATTATAGCCTATTATATCACAGAACAGCTATAAAACAGGGCTCTAGATATTTGCAGATGAAAACTAAAGCAACAAGTATCTGACTCTTTATCAATGTAGCTCTAAATACCTGTAACAGAATCCCATTGGAAACTGAACTTGAATTAGGATGTTCTACTTTGGTATCTGCTCCAGGACTCTCCAGAGGTGCCAAGAATCAGATTCTGCAAATCCTTTCTGGGCAAGGACAGTGTTTATATGCGGCCTACAATGTATCCTACATCCCTTATTCCTCTCTTTTTTTGTTTTTCTGTTTCTTTTTTTGGGGGGTGGGGTTTCTCTGTGGCTTTGAAGGCAGTCCTGAAACTAGCTCTTGTAGACAAGGCTGGTCTCAAACTCACAGAGATCTGCCTGCCTCTGCCTCCCAAGTGCTGGGATTAAAGGTGTGCTGCACCACCACCACCACCACCCTGTCTGTTTTGGTTTTTGAGACAGTGTTTTTCAGTAGCCTTTGTTGTCCTGGAACTTCCTCTGTAAATCCATCCATCTGCCTGTCTCCCGAGCACTGGGATTAGAGGCATGTGCCACCACTGCCTGGCTCCCTTAGTCATTTATTGGGATACATGCTCAACATATAAGCAACCAAAGTAGGATAGACTACAAAGTTCACATCAACAAAATACCATGGAAATCCTGCCCATCGTGTTGGAGAGACTAGGGATCTATGAAATGGTAGGAAGCTATTGCAGGGTGTGCATGCCTGCATGTAGCTCTATTCCTCTGGATTCAGGGTAGTGCTTAGCATATGGCAAAATCAAAATTTTTGAACTTCCTGGATTTTTCTGGCAGGGACAAGGATTGAACTCAGGCCTACTGTACATGCTAGATACACTATACTACTGAACTACATTCTCCAGCCCCAAATTCAACTTAAAAATTCTTTTCCCTACCTGTTGTTGAATTTGTAGATATGGATTCCATGGATATGGACCTGACTGTGTATCTAAAAGAAGTGCTTCTGAAGATTATCATGAGCCTGGAAATTTAGGACTTCATATAATCTACATGTAAATGCATAAATATGTCTTAGACTAGGTATAGCTAAAGTGAAACTTAAATACCATTTCCTATTCTTTTTGTGAATCTCTCTTTTTTAATGATTAAATCGTCTCCTTAGAGCAAAATTCCCATCAAATTCTCCACTAGCCTGGATGTGACGACAGAAGCCTATAATCCCAGCAGGTAAGAGCTAGTCATCCTTAGTTCAAGCCAGCCAATGATACATGAAACTCTCTCAAAACAAAACATTCCCTACTACAAAAAATTAAAGCCCACAGATGTGAGATATTCACTTAAGAATCTGCATGGCCAAATATTAAGTTAGTTTTTCTAGGGCTGGGAACTGCACCCAGGATTTTATATACTCTAAACAGACACTCTACAACACAGGCAATGGCCTTCAGCCCTAATCCACATTAACTAGGGCTTTGAACTTGCAATTTTACTGCCTCTGTCTATCAAGTAGGTGGGATAAAAGGTCTGTGCCACAAGGCCTTGGCTTGTTAAACCACCATGTCTGGCTGCCAAACTAATGTTTTTACTTATAGCACAAATACCAGACAGAACAAGAAAGTTAAATCTTAGCTCAACCATTAGCTGCAAGAAATCAGGCAAGTCATTTACCTTTCTTTGCCTTACCCATAAAATGGGGATAACAACAACACAGGCTCTAGGCTATTCAAGACAACTAAGAATAGTTCCTGGCCCACAGTATGTTCCATGACAATGTCATTTCTATTATTAAGATTACACTCTGTTCACAGACCACAAATGCAGTCCCACCAATAAACTTCTGCTCCTTGGTTGCTTTCTCATATGCTCCTTCTGAAATGACTACGGTATGCCATCCTGTCTTGACTATTTTGTTTGTTCTCAGTCCTCTATCCTCTTTCCCCAATGATCACATCTGCATTGGCAAAACATTTGAGATTAGCCGGGAGGTGGTGGTACACTCGGGAGGCAGAGGATCTCTGGGAGTTCCAGGCCAGCCCAGTCTACAGAGCAAATTCCAGGACAGGCTCCAAAGCAATACAGAGAAACCCTGTCGGACACACACACACACACACACACACACACACACACACACACACACACACACACACACACACACACACACACACACACTCACTTCTATCCCTGAGCTTGGGCACGCCTTTAATCCCAGCACTCGGGAGGCAGAGGCAGGCAGATCTCTGTGAGTTCGAGGCCAGCCTGGTCTACAGAGTGAGTTCCAGGAGAGCCTCCAAAACAATACAGAGAAACCCTGTCTTGAAAACAAACAAAGCAAAAAAAAAAAAAAAAAAACCAAAAAAACAAAAACAAAAAAACCCTTTTAATTGGTTTAATCAACATGGCTGTCAATAAGTATCTTATGTGGATCATTACACGCTCATCTATTAACATTTCTAAGTTTAAAGATCCAAATGGTCTGTAATGATTAATCCACTCCAAATTAATGGCTCCTGTCTCTATGCAGCTGTGTAGGGTTTATCTGTGTTACCTAATGTCAGACTACTTGGTAGAGTGCTTGCTTGTTTACTAGGTTCTATCATTAGCACTGTATAGACTGGGCTCGGTGGCACACACCTATAATCTCAGCGGCACTCAGGGAAAACTGCCATGCTTCTGAGTCATGAGAGGGAAGCTTTATCACTAGTGTCAATTCAGTTTCACTTTCCCCTCTGCATTTCCTGTTACCGGATTCAGAAAGCCAGAAAGATCACAAGTCCAAGAGCTATCCTTGGCAAGCCTGGGCTACATGGACTCTACCTCAAAAACAATACAAGCTAGGCACGGTGGCATGTGCTTTTAATCCATGCACTCCGAGGGCAGAGGCAGGTGAATTTCTGTCAGTTTGAGGCCAGCCTGGTCTGAGTTCCTGGGCAGTCAGGACTACAGGGAAACCCTGACTCAAAACAAAAACAACCCCCCCCCCCAAAATCCACCCCAGGAAAAGCCAAACCAAAAAAAGTCTTCAGAGTGGGGCTAACCTAGGATCCCAACCTTTGTTCTCCTTGAATTTCATCATTTTCCATCATCAGTCCAACTATTATCAACGTTAAAGGATAGTTGGAAATAGATGCCCAACTGTGTCCAGATAGGTAGAAACTTTGCTGGATGATTGACTGATACTAAGGAGATTACTGGCCGAATTACACTGAATAGTGACTAGTGTCGTTAGTATATACCTGAACGCTGGAGGGAAAAGAAAAAAAAGGGGGTGGTGGGGTCTGAGTAGCACAGGAGTAGGGTTTTCCGGTCAGGTCTGTGAAAGACAAACCCAGGCATAGACCGAGTTCTTGGGTCAGGACACATCCCAGGCTGTTTACAAAACAGCAGTGACAAGAACACACAAAACTGCATAGGCACGTGGAGTCATACTGGTTCTGGGGTGTGCCTAAAGATAGAGGTAAACTTCTTTGCATTGGCCTCTCCTGGTGTGACGTTGGGGCCATCCCAAGGACGAACCAATGGTCTTTGCGGGAACGACCCATCGGCCACAGTTCCTGGCATAACATCGCTCCCTCTTTTGCTTTCTCTTTTCCACCAAAGTTAGGGGTTCGCCCCTTGACCAACTAAAGATCCCCAGTTAGACACATCGTCTCTCTCAAACACACACACACACACACACACACACACGCACGCTCCCCTTATTACAAGCTGTGAGTATGGGAATGGTTAGAGAAAAGCTCTAGGTCAGTCCAGTGTGACTTTGCAGTTTGAAGTCCCCTTTTCTACGCTTCCCATTATGAACCGTCTGCCTTGGGACAGGAAGGCTTCGGATCCAGCGGACGTGACGAGCACCCCCAGCCCGCAGGTGTGTGGAAGCAAGACCCCCTAGCCTGCCACCCCTGGGGACGAGTGGCTCGGATGCAGACCCCCGACGCGGGCTAGGCCTAGACACCCGCGGCGGCGTGGGTCGTCGCCTCGGAAGGCGGTGCGCAGCCCCGCGGGTCCCTTGCAGCGCCCAGGCCCGGTCAGGAAAGGCCCGCGAGGCTGGGCCGCCCGGCCGGCGCGCCTCGGGGAGCGGGGTCCGTTCCATCTCAAGCCAAGCGCCCTGCCGCCCCGTTACCATCCCCGCCGTGTTGAAGCTCACCTCGCCACTAGTCCCGGGACCCACTCGGTCACCGCCACCCGCCAGGAGCCCTGCGGAAGCTGAGGGAAAGCGTCCCACTTCGCTTCCGGAAATAACCTAGGCCTGCGGGCCGACCGTGCGCGGCTCCCTCGACCATAGAGGAGCGGTCCTTCTATCGCCGCAGACTCTCAACCCCCAGCGACCTCCCCAGTGCCTAGAGCGGCCGCTCCCCGGAACGGGGTGCCGCATGCGCACTAATGCAACCCGCCCTTTTTTTTTTTTTTCCGTCGGGTCAGAGCGCGGAAGTCACAGCCCGAGGGTGAGGCGGTGTTTTCTATTAAGTGTCCCTCCCGGAACGCGTTCCTGTGTTTAGATGAGCTGGCTTTGGTCAGGCATTAAAATAATTCTCTCACCACTCCCGTATGCACCACCATAAATCTCACCACTCCCGTATGCACCACCAAAAAGTTATATTTATATTGTCGGGATTTGGAATAAAAGGACGTTTAACCTGCAGCCACACACTTCGGTTGAGAACTCACGGCGCTGTGTTTTTAGTCGTTTAGATATTATGAGACCCAACTAGGAGCAAGTTAATGGGAGATCAAAACAGGAAAAAAAAACACCTTGCGGGTTAAGGGTTCTGTTTGCAGTTAAGGTAGTTATTAGTTAAGTTCTTCTTTGTCCTGTGTTAAATCCTTGCAAGTGAAGCACACACACACACACACACACACACACACACACACACACACACACACACACACACCTGGGTTTCTCTATGAACAGCCAGAGCTGTTCAAAAGAGTGCTGGCTGCTTGTACACAGCATTAGGTCACACAAAGTGGGCTCCCTAAAATGGCAGTGCTGCTGACAATGCCCTAAGATGATGACTGTAACCAGGCTGGATTTCTTTTTTTCTTTTTTCGAGACAGAGCTTCACTGTGTAACTGCTTCAGTTGTCCTGGAACTCTCTCTGTAGATCAGGTTGGTCTCAAATTCAGAGATCTACCTGCCTCCACATCCTGAGTGCTGGGATTAAAGACGTTCACCTCCACTGCCTGGCACCCAGCCGAATACTTACCTGGTAAGCATACAGATTTTTTTTTGAGACAGGGTTTCTCTGTATTGTTTTGGAGGCTGTCCTGGAACTCACTCTGTAGACCAGGCTGGCCTTGAACTCACAGAGATCTGCCTGCCTCTGCTTCCCGAGTGCTGGGATTAAAGGCGTGTGCCACCAACGCCCGGCAGCATACAGATTCTTACTGGATAAACAGCAACCTAAATTCCTCAGAAATTGCAGGAGATGGGGTTCTCTTTGTCAGGAAAGACCACTACTTCCTTCTCTGCTCCTAATGATTCACTACCTTGTGCAACGTGCATCTCGTTTCCTATGAACCCAAACAGCCTACCTCGGTTCAAAGTCCCCACAGCAATCTCCAGACTGTCCTGACTGCAGGTTATCTTTAGTTGCTCCTGCCTGATAAAACTGTCAAAACTTTTCTGGCGAAGCTGCTGTTCTCTACCCTCTGAGGCAGCCTGACAGTTTGTTCCCAATAAATTGTTCTTTCTACCCACAGAGTGGTCTAGCTTGGTGGTTTCACTGACAGAGAACCAGAGTTCAGTTCTAAGTGTCCATGTCAGCTGACAACCACCAGTAACTCCAGCTCTAGAGATCTGATGACCTTTTCTAGCCTCTGTGGGCATTTGCATGAGGCGCGTGCATGCGTGTGCACACACACACACACACACACTAAAAAAACAAGATGAAATGTTTTAGGAATCTTTCTGGAATAAGCACTTTGATACTGATGAGAGTAGAAGAGAGGTGATGTCACTGGTGGACCAAAGCAGGATAGTTCCTGAGAGGCTCCAATGCAGTTTGCATCCTTATACTCTAAAACTACAGGAAGGCGCCGGGCGTTGGTGGCGCACGCCTTTAATCCCAGCACTTGGGAGGCAGAGGCAGGCGGATCTCTGTGAGTTCGAGGCCAGCCTGGTCTACAAGAGCTAGTTCCAGGACAGCCTCCAAAGCCACAGAGAAACCCTGTCTCGAAAAACCAAAAAAAAAAAAAAACTACAGGAAGCCAGCCAGATTTTATGGAACAGCAATGACAGTCAACAGGTTGTTAATGGTAACAATTCATTGTTACAGCTATCTTTCCAGGTCATTCTGTTTCAGGTAGAAAGTGAAGTCATGTTCCGCAAATAGGCAGTACAAGCAGTAGTTTAAGTAAATCACCAATTACACCAGTAAATTAGTACCTAATACTTTTACTTTTTTACTGTATTCTACTTCAAAATAGTTAAAAATAAACACACAACCCATACTGTCTTGGATATGGACTAACAGCAACTCCTAATTTATTAAGAAGTCGGTGCCTAGCCCCTCCAAGTTCCCTTTGACATGTACTCTGTGTTGAACTGAATCACAATATAAAACGTCCTGGCACCCCTTACAGTTTAAATTTATTTATTTTACATCCCAACCACAGTTTCCCCTCCCTCCTCTCCCTTTTGTGCCCCCCCTTTCACTCTTCCCTTTTTGTTCAATAAAGGGCAGGTCTTCTATGTATATCAACAAATCATGCATATCAAGTTCGGTAGGACTAATCTCCTCTCTTTGTATTAAGGCTGGTAACCCAGTATAAGGAATAGGTTCCCAAAAGCCAACTAAAGCATTGGGGACATTCCCTTCCCCTGCACCCAAAGCTGGGAGACCCACAAATGGGCCAAGTTACACAAATGTCACATATATGCATAGGGCATAGGTCAGTCCCATGCAGGCTCCCTGGTTGTCAGTTCAGACTCTGTGAGCCCAGGTGAGTTGATTTTTGGGTTTTCCTGTGATGTCCTTAAACTCTCTGACTTGTCAATCCTCCCTCTCTTCAGCAGGATTCCCTGAGCTCAGGCTAATGTTTGATTGTGGGTCTCTGCGTCAGTTACTGGATGAAGTCTCTCTGATGACAACTGGGGTAGCACCAATCTATGAGTATAGCAGAATATCATAGGCATCATTACATTGACATTTTTTCCTCCTATTGTGTTTTGTTGCCTCTGGGTCCTGGCACTCCAGGCATTGTTGGGGGTGGACTCATTCTCATGAGTGTCGTGGGTCTCAGCCTGGACCAGTCATTGGTTGGCCACTCCTATAATCTCTGACTCACCCTTACCCCAGCACATCCCATAGGCAGGACAGGCTGTAGGTCAAAGGTTATGTGCCTGGGTGGGTGTCCCAAACCCTCCACTGGAAGTCTTGCCTGGTCATGGGAGATGGCCAGTTCAGGCTACATATCCACCATTGCTAGGAGTCTGAGCAGGGATCTCCCTTGTAGATCCCTGGGGGTTTCTCTTGCAACAGGTTTCTATTTGACCCTGAAATGCTCCTCCCTTTCCATTCGTCTCTTTCAATGCCTCCCCTGAAATTTTATGAAAATCTGTTATTCATTCCCTTCTTTGGATTGTTTGGGGGACTTTTTTCTGAGCAGTCTATGCTCTCCACTGCCATTCCTTTGAGGATGTCATGCAAGCTCTCTTCTCTCTTCCTATATCTCTTTATTTTTGAGGGGACCAGACCCTCACCCAGCCCCCTGCCTTAGCAGCCATGACAGGCTACAGAAAAGCCATGTAGGCCTCCGATGTCAGTACATGTTACAAAGAAACCCTTCCCTCCAGCTTCCTGGAGCCTACAGCCAAAACTGAAGACAAAGAAACTCCATACCCCCTAGCCTCCTGGATGCTTGGTTCCTGGGAACTATGTTTGGCCGCAAAGAAACACCAGGAGAGACCAAAACCTCCCCTGTAGTCTCCAGGATATTCAGTTCTGAAAACCGTTGGTATCTGTGTACAACAGGCCACCAGCAAGTAACAAGACAAAGCCATAGAAAACATAGAATGTTGCCTCTCAGCACAGACCAATGAGAATAATTGACACACAGGTATTTCATGACTTTAAAAATTTCCCCTAGGCCGGGTGTTGGTGGTGCACGCCTTTAATCCCAGCACTTGGGAGGCAGAGGCAGGTGGATCTCTGTGAGTTCGAGGCCAGCCTGTTCTACAAGAGCTAGTTCCAGGACACCCTCCAAAGCCACAGAGAAACCCTGTCTCGAAAAACCAAAAAAAAAAAAAAATTTCCCTAAGAGTTCCCCAAATGTCAACCAATCAGGAACTGACCCATACCTCTCCCCCTCCCGCTGATGTAACCCTGCAGCTTTTTTCCTGTAGACAGGGAACTCACTTCCTCTGGTGGCTGCTGCATCAGCTAGCTTAACCAGGTCTCTATCATGGTTGGATGGAGCAATAAACCTTGCTTTTGTAGTTCATTGGGTCTGTCTCCCTGGTGGTCTTTGGGGAATCTTCGTGACTTGGCCATAACATTTTAATTTTTTTTAAAGATTTTATTAAGTATACAGTGTTCTGCCTGCATGTGCCCTGCAGAGGGCACCAGATCTCATTATGGATGGTTGTGAGCCACCATGTGGTTGCTGGGAATTGAACTCAGGACCTCTGGAAGAGCAGTCAGTGCTCTTAACCTCTGAGCCATCTCTCCAGCCCCCTCACTCTTAAAAAAAAAAGATTTATTTAATTTTGAGGCAGTGATGGCCCATGCCTTTGATATCAGAGGCTGAGGCAGAGGTGGGTGGATCTCTGTTCAAGGCCAACCTGGTACAAAGTGAGTTTCAGGACAGCCAGTACTGTTACACATAGAAACTCTGTCTCAGAAAAAAATAGTAAAGATTTATTCATTTCTTTTAATGTATAGTGTTCTGTCTCTCCAGCCATTCCCCATCCTCACCCCCCCACCCTACCTTTTTTTTTTTTTTTTTTTTTTGAGAGAGGATCTCACTATGTAAGTCTGGCCAGCTTGGAATTCAGAGATATGCCTATTTCTGTCTCTAAGGTGCAGGGGTTAAAGGTATATACCACCACACCCAGCTTTTTTATTAACTCTTTTCCACATCCAGCTTTTTTATTTACTTTTTAAAAAATTTTCGGAAGAGGATTTTTCTGTGTAGCCCTGGTTGTCCTGAAACATGCTCTGCAGACCAGACTGAACTCACAGAGATCAACTTGCTTCTGCATCCTGAGTGCTGAGATTAAAGGCATTCACTCTCAATGAGGGTCTTATCCAGGTCTTATTTTTGAATACTTTGAATTATGTGTC